TTTATTTGACTGGCAGAGTTATGGAGAGAGAAGTCTTCCATCTGCTGGTTCACTCCCCAGTTGCTCACAACGGCCAGAGCTGGGCTGATCTGAAGCCAGGAGCCTCTTCTGGGTCTCCCAGATGGGTGCAGGGGCCCAAGGAATTGGGCCGTCTTCTAATTGGTTTCCCAGGCCATAGCAGAGAGCTAAATGGAGCAGCTGGGACTCAAACAGATTGCTCATGTGGGATGTTGGCACTGCAGGCAGTGGCTTTGCCCACTATGCCACGGCACCAGCCAGTTGTCATTTAAAAAAAAAAAAACTGAACTCACCTAGTTATCTTGCAACTTAAGCTCCAGATTTGTCTTGTTATTAGCCTGGAGCCTACATTCTCTTGCAGTTGTCTATATTTTAAGGAGAAGCAGAACTTCTGGTAGTGAGCGAATAAATTCTGTTCAGTGTTCTACTTGCTCATCAGTCTTTCCATCAGAGTGTGGGCAGAGCTCCCTTTTCCATTCTGTATTTTATATTACAGGCTCTTGAGAAAATGAAGTATATTACTTCTCTGTGGGTTGTGGTTTTCTCATCAGGGAGCCATAAATCAATATTTATCTAAAGGAAAATTGCATTTTAGAGGCTTACCATGATAATTTACTAACTTCATAAACTGGGAATAAAAAGATATGGGTTGGCAAATTTTGTTTTTAAAAGAAATTTCTTTGTATTATAAAAGTAATTCATTAACAAAATGCAAAAAAGATGGAAATAAAGGAAAATTAATCTTGGCAAGAGGGCAGAATGAAAGGTCCCCGGATCTTTTCGTCCCATAGAAACACTGATTTTTTTTTTTTAACCATCTACAGACAAAATCTGCTTTAATGATAGATCAGCCCAGATCTGGATCAGCCCAGAATTCAGAAAGGCTGCACTGAGAAGGTAGGATTAGGTCATCCTCTAGTGGACCCTCCTTACTGAGCCTCTGTTAGAAGACTTATCATCCACCTATGGACCCAGTGCCAACTCTTCCTGTTTCCCACAGATCTGGAAGTAGCTTTGCTCGTGTGCCTACCCTTTAGGAGCCCTGATTGCCCAGCCCTTGCTGGGCATTTCCATTGCCACAGACCCTAGGATCTGGTCACAAATCCACCCACACTCCCCCAGACCTAGAAGCAGCACTTCTTGCCCATGGAAACTAAAGGCAATCTCACTCGCACATGAACCCAACAACAACCCCACCCATTTTAGGGCTAGCAGCTCAGCCCACTCATGGATGCTGGCAGCAGGCCCACCTGTCTGTGGACTCTTGCAGTAGGCCTGCCTGTGGACTGTGGTGGCATAATAGGTCTGCCCACAGACATACCGGCTGGCTCACCTGAAGACTTAGGAAGGTGACCTACCCATGTATTATGATGAGTGAGACAGATGAAAATTTTTACCAGATGAAACTGGTCAGTAAGAACTGGAATGCAACTAGTCAGTAGGAACTGGAATAGGTGGTTGGTTCTCAAATGTAGACATCAGCTTGAGGCTACAGAGATCACAAAGAATCAGGCAGACGTGTCTCCATCCACAGAACCTAATAGTCTTCCAATAACTGACCCTTCATAAATTGAGATCTATAATCTGTTTGACATATAATTAAAAGTAATCTTATTAAAGAACTCAATTAGCTGCAAAAGAACACAGATTGACAACTAAAAACCCAAATAAAAATTAGGAACATAATATATGAACAAAATGAGACATTCAATAATAAAATAGAAACCATAGAAAAGAACCAAACTGAAATTCTAGAACTGAAGACTACAATGATGTAACTGAAAAATTCAGTAGAAAGTTTAAGTAGCAGACCCAATCCAGGAGAAAAATCAATTAACTTCAAGACAAGTCTTTTGAAATTATATACTTGGAAGGACAAGCAAAACACAGTGAGAGAAAGAAGAGGGAAAAGAGTGAAAAAAATCTGAGGGACTGTGGGACATCATCAAATGAACTAAAATATGCATTACAAAATTTCTAGGAGGACAGAGGGAGAGTGAGCCAGAGAGATAGGAAGAGGAAGAAAGGTTATTTAAAGAAATTTAAAATAAATTTAAGTTGCAGGGTAAAAACCAACATACAAAAATCAGTTGCATTTCTGTGTATTAATAATCACTTATATGAAAAGAAAGTTAAGAAAGTATTATCATTATTAATGTCAAAAAGAATAAAATACTTACAAATAAACTTAATCAATAAGGTGAAAGACACACTAAAAGCAGTGAAACATTGATGAAGGAAATTAAAGAAGACACAAATAAATAGAAGAACATTTTGTGTTCATGGATCAGAGGAATTATTGTTAAAATGTACATATCCCTTAATAACTGTTGTAAGAAAAACTGGATATCCACGTGTGAAATGATACTGGATTCTTATCTTACACTTTACAAAAGATGAAGTCAAAATGGATAAAGACTTAAATAAAGCTGAAACAGCAGAACTCTTAGAAGAAAATGTAGGAAAAGGCTTGTATACATTGGTCTGGGCATTGATTTCGTGGATGACATCTAAAGTGCAGGCATCAAAAGACAAAATGGACAGTTATGTCAAACTCTAAAAGTTTTTTAAAGCAAAGGAAACAGACTGAAGAGGTAATTTAAAGAATGGAAGAAAATATCTTTCAGACCTTATAACTGGTAAGAAGTTCCTGCAACTCCATACCAAAAATTAACAGCAGCAAAACCCACAAAAAACAACCTGCTGAAAAAATGGGGGAAAAAAGACCTGGTTAGATATTTTACCAAAGAAGACATACAAGTGGCCAACATAGATGAAACGTTGTTTAATACTGATAAATATCAGAGAAATACAAGCCAAAACCACCGTAGCAATTCACACTTGTTAGGATGCCTAGTATCAAAAACACAAGATAACAAGTCTTGGTGAAGGTGTGAAGGAAAAGGAACTCACTGTTGGTGAGATTCTGTATTGGTGCAGAAGACTGTATGAGGCTCTTCAACAATTAAGAAGTAGAACCATAATTTGATCCAGCAATTTCATTTCAGTATATATGAATATATATGCATATGTGTGTATACACAGACACACACACACATATACACACACAAAGCGATTGAACTCAGGATCCTAAAGAGATATTTCATTTTTTAAAAAAGATTTTATTTATTTATTTGAAGGGTAGAGTTACAGACAGTGAGAAGGAGAAACAGAGGGAAAGGTCTTCCGTCTGTTGGTTCACTCCCCAATGGCCGTAACGGTCGGAGCTGTGCCAATCTGAAGCCAGGAGCCAGGTACCTCTTCCCGATCTCCCATGTGGGTGCAGGGGCCATCTTCTACTGCTTCCCCAAGCCATAGCAGAGAGCTGGATGGGAAGAGGAGCAGCCGGAACTAGAACTGGCGCCCATATGGGATGCTGGCTCTGCAGGCGGAGAATTAACCTACTGCGCCACAGCGCTGGCCCTGAGATATTTCATTTCTATACTCAGAGCAGCATTATTCACAATTCCAAAAAGTGGAGACAACTCAAGCATCCATTAACAGATGCATGAATGAACACAATATAGTATATATATTCAATAGGATGTTATTAAGTATTTAAAGAGGAAGGAAACATTGTCATTTGTGACAGCAAGGTGGGCCTCCAGGGCACTATGCTAAGGAAAACAAGCCAGAGGTGGAGAAATGGGGCAGGAATCTCACCTCTGTGCAATGCTTAAAGTTGTCAAATTCATAGAAAGAGAGACTATGATGGTGGTAACCAGGGCTGCAGGGAGAGGGAAGTGGAGGAATGTTAGTCAAAGGGTGCAAAGTTTCAGCTATGCACAATGAATAAACCCTGGGGATCTGTTGCACAAAATACAGCCTGTAGATTCTTATAGTTTTATTAAGAGGATAGATCTTCTTTAAGCATTATGACCACAAAAAAGAAAAATAAGGGAGTAGGGGCATAAGGAAACTGGGAAGTGACAGATAAGCATATGTCCTGCTTGTGGTGATGGACTCACAGGTGTATGATTATCTCCGAACTCATCAAGTGTGTATGTTAAATATTTAGAACTTTTTGTATATCAATCATGTCTCAATAAAGTGGTCTAATAATTGCAAAATCAAAAATAACCCATAAGCTCATCATTTGAGTAAACCGTTTTGTTGAATTGCTTCTAGCCAGTTTTCTTTTTTATGTTATTTATTTATTTTTCATCATCTTGGAAAGCAGAGTAACAGGGGAGGGGAGAGAAGGAAAGGGAAAGAAGGAGAGGGAGAGGAAGAAGGCAATTCCATTCACTGCTTTACTCCCCAAATGCCAGCAACAGTTGGGGCTGGTCCAGGCCAAAGCCAGGAGTCTGGAACTCCATCTGGGTCTCCCACATGGTTGGCAGGGGACCAAGCAAGTGGGCTGTCATCCATTGCCTACCAGAATGAATTAGCAGGAAGCTGGATTGGAAGTGGAATAGCCAGCAGTTGAACCAGCACTCTGATACGGGATACAGGCATCCTTAGCAGCAGCCTAATCGACTGTGCCACTCCTTTTAGCCATTTTTTCGAAGACTGTATATCTGTGTGCAAAAGTATACATGCCCTGAAATAGAATTTGTGTGTTTTTATCAAAGTATTTTTGGAAAGGTGTTTTTTTTTTTTTTCTGTGGGTTGATGACTGTGGCACCCATGAAATGATGTGTGTTATTCTTATTTGGTAATGATGTCAAAATACATGGCTTAGTTTCAGTTTGCTGTTAGGGTGGGATTCCTTTTCGTGGCTGTGTATTTTGTATGAACAACCAAGACAGGTGTGGATATGTGAGTCCAGTGGAATGCACTTCATTTCAGAAAAGACCAATGCTGATTCCTTCTGCTGAAATTCCTCCTTCCCCATGTAACCTGCATGCTTTTGTGTCCATCCCAGGAAGGAGTGAGTGCTCAGCTGTCTCAAGGCACAGGACAAACAGAAATAAGGAAGGCATATGAAGCTGTTAATATGTGCTTCATTTTGGTTTCTTTCTTTCTTTTTTTTCTTCCAGAAAATATTTTGGAGAAAAAATTGGACTGTATTTTGCCTGGCTGGGATTATATACATCATTCCTCATCCCATCTTCCGTAATTGGGGTGATTGTGTTTCTTTATGGATGTGCAACAATCGAAGAAGATATTCCCAGGTAAGTTAATGGTAAAGAAAAACGCTCAGTTCCCATATGTTTGGAGTTTCATCCCAGTTGTGAGTACATTTCCCACGCCTCCTTCCAAAGTTTTCTCTTCCTCTATCTTTCTTCCTCCCTCACCACAAATGTAACTTCCCTTCAGGGATGAATCTGGGAGCTCTTGGTTCTGGGAATGACTTCAGAGCCTGCTGGGTGCGGTCCACTTCCTTCCCTAGACAAGCTCTTCCCTAGGGCCAGAGCTGATGTCAGCAGGTGAATAATAACGGATTAGACAAAGAATCGGCCATCCCTCAGCTTCATTTTCCACGAACTTTAAAAAGTACTCTTGTACAATAAAAGATAATGTAAAACATGCAAAGTCGTAGCACTTCAGAATTAACCTCTCTTAAATTTGTACTGTATGATCCTTCAAAATATTTTCTTTGCACATATAAAAGCAGGCACATTTTGTTTTTGCCAAATAAATCGTCCATTCTTTAGACTATTTTGTCATCTACCCTCAAAGAATAACAATAGATTATAATCTTCTCATGTCAATAGGAATATTTCTGCACCATGATGATTTGTAGCTGTATAAAATTTACTTTGTGGATATACATAAGTGACTTTAAAAAAATACCATAATGTTGGACATTTAAGATTTTCTTTGATTTTTAAAATAAGCAGTACTTCAGTGAACACCACATAGTTTAATTTTCAAACATTTCCTTATTTCTTTAGGACAAATTCCCAGATATAGCTATTGATGCCAAAGTTATGCATATTTTTGTATCTTCGGATAAAAATTTGCACTCCAGGGTATTGTACCAATTTGATATTACAAATAGAACACAAGCGTACATTTTTCTAAAAGCTAAATATTGTTTTGTAAAATGAGATTTGAAAAAACATAGATGAATTCTTTTGATATATACCATCGTAAAATATTGTCATGTGAAGGACAAGTTTATTTTGGTGCAAAGGCATTGTGAAATCCACATGTGATTTTTTTTTATGGTGTACATTTTCTGTGAACTTTCTGAATGCCCTTCATATTTCCTCTTTTTTGTGATGAGCTTTTTTTCTCTTGTAATTAAATCTTCATTTTTAAGAAAACAACTATGCATTGCATTAGTAAATGCTAATATTGTTAAAAAAAGGAATACTGGAGAAATACCTTTTTTTCTCAATATCTTGACTTTTGTTCCTCTGGTTTCCCATAAGACTTAAGGCAGGGAGTATATGGTGGCAGTGAGTGGATGTCACCTGTCTAATGGTCAAGCACTGCTGGAATAAAATGCTGTAAGGAGGCAGGCAACTGTAAAATTGGGAATAAGAACCTTTGGGAAGCCCCAGGCTCCATGGTGGGGCTCTTAGAGAGAAAAGAGATAGAACAATAGTTCCCTTGTGTGGGAAGATCGAGCCTACAAAAAATAAACACTACAATAGCAGCCTTTAGGGCTGATGGTATTCCACGTTAGCCGTGTGATTGGACAGTTCACTAACTCAGCCTTGGTTGCCTCATCTGTGAAATGGTGACAGCAACCCCCACTTCATGATGTGTGAGTATTAAAGGCAAACACGTAGGAGATGATCAGTAGTTAATCAAAATATCTGGAAATAGAGTACAAGGGCCAATAAGATGCTTTGTTAATACTTAGAATTTCAAGCTCTTGCTGTCATTAGGACTGCCCTTGAAAATGAAAGCATCATTAGCATATTTTCTAATAAATCTTTTTTAAAATATGTATTCATCTTAATTTTCAATTGAGAGACAGAGATGAAGAGAGAGATGCCCAAATGCGCACATGCTCGCAACAGCTGGGATATGGCCAGGGGTCAGCCTGAAGCCAGGAGCTGGAACTCAATCTGGGCCTCCCACCTGAGTGGCAGGGACCCAAGTACTTGAGTCATCATTTGCTGCCACTCTGTGTACCTTAGCAGAAAGCTGGAGTTGAAAGTGGAGCTGAGCCTTGAACCCAAGCACTTCATTATGGGATGTGAACATCCCAGGAGACCTCTTTACTGCTTTTCCAAATTCCTGCCTCCATTAGCATATTGTAATACTCCATTGGTTGCAAGTGATAGAAATGCAACTTGACCTGGATTAAGCACAAAGAGAAATGTATTTTAAGGATTCTGGAGTGATTCACATTACCCAATGGCAGGTGGATGGGTCTAAGGAATACTGGACTAGGGACTCTTGTTTGGGATTTATGTGTTTCACGATAGATTTTTCTCCACTTCTAAGTAAACATTGCCACTGGAAGGTCAGGATTGTTACTTCTTAGAGCGATATGCTAAATTAATTTTAGGTGAAAAGGTTGTGTTGGTTCTGTTTGATTTGGGTCGGTTCCCTGGACTGTTCCATCATGGCTGTGGGGCAGGATCCCTCTGTACCAAAGTGAATTTCTCTCAGTAGCCAGGTGGATGAGGACACTGGGCTGACTTTGGCATCCACTGTTGCTGGAGGTGGCAATGGGAGATGCATAAAGAGCCACATGCTGTGCTTTTGAGGAAAGTGTGTCCAACCAGTGGGCAGAAGCCAGGTAGTCCTTGCCACTGTGGGTCTATGGAAATGGTTTTATAAATCAAATAAACTAGAAATAGCATTGTTAATATTTAGAATAAAGCTAAAAACATTGTGTAAGTGCCAAGGGTTTTAGATATTCTTGTGTGAGAAACTCCGTAGTTATCTGTCCGGTGCTCTTGATTGGAAGTTTTGGGGTCTTTGTCACAGGAGAGTGGTCATTAGGGTCCTTTCTTCTCTAGCCCATCTGTTATGAAGGAAGAACTAATATTTATCATATTTATCTTGTAGCTCCCTTGTGCCAGGAGTGGTACTATGTGGCTTTTATGTATTCGTTACTTTGATACTGTAAGAGGGCACTATTATAAACTCTCTAAGATAGCTATAATTATTTACATGAGATGGAGAAACTGTTGCTAAGTCGGGTCGCTCCAGTTGTCCAAGTTCAACAGCTACTAACTGTCAAGGCTGGGAGTTGAGCTCTGCTGCCTCCTGTTCAGAAGGCCTTGCTTTTTTCCAGTAAGCAGTGAAGTCTTTCAGAAAATGCAAATCCTCCTTGACAGCTCTTTCAGAAAACACAGCACTATGTTTTCCTTGCCCAGTGTGATCACAAAAGATCTCAGGTTGATCAAAGCTAGAAACCCCAGTGGTATGCATAGGGAACCAGAGCCAGTTCCCTGTGTGGGGCACCAGTGTGTGGATTTCCATCAGGACTCAGAGCTTGTGCCCTGGGTCCCCACGGGGGAATACATGTGGCAGCAGCCGCTGCAGCTGGGAATGACCATGGTCTGCACATGTGGCGGTTACATGTCTACACACAAGCATGCACTCCACACGTTCATATTCACGCATGTGCAAGACTGAAACATAAAACGTGGCAGTCATGTGTGATACTGCTCGCCAGTGGGCACAGCGTCTAAGGTTAATGGCTCATTGTTGGGTTGTGGAATAAATTTGATGGTTATTTTTAAATGAACTAGAATAAGCTACGATAGCCTAGAATGAAATAAAATCTGAGTATTCATTACAAGAAGGAAGGATAAATGTTTCATGTGATTTATTTCAGTTCTAAGAGGGGGTTTCAAAAGTTTGTGAAAAAAATAGAATTAAAACATAAGTTTATTTGGTGCAAAAAAAAATGGAATCCACATAAAGTTCTTTCATACTGTACCATTTTTCCGTGAGCTTTTTGAAGATTCTGTGTGAGTGTTATTGTGGAAGGGAGGGTGTGTGTGTATTTGCATGTTGGGATCTGATGCAAAATAAAGAAGAATTAAATATAGGTTGTAGTTAAAAAAGTTTGAAATTGACTTTTATAAAGTTAAAATGTTGACCATTAGCTTTTTAGACTCATGATAGGCTGTGACAAGTCAGGAAGATGTAAATGGAAAAGAATTAAACGCTTCATGTAGTTTTATTTTTTAAAGCTGCTTTCTAAACCCAATTGCATATCCATCACAAGTTCAAGTTTTATGGGCCTGATGGAAACTCACAAAATACCATGCCTTGTCAACAAAGGAATAGTCTCTGAAACCCAATGTTGAATCTAAACAAGTTCTTGTTCTTTAAGGGTCTATGTCTACCAGTGCATCCTGGGATTATAGTAGAGGTTGCTAATTGTGGCATCAAGCCTGGGAGTTACTATGTATCACTTTTTTTTTTTTTTTTTTTTTTTGACAGGCAGAGTGGATAGTGAGAGAGAGAGACAGAGAGAAAGGTCTTCCTTTGCCGTTGGTTCACCCTCCAGTGGCCGCCGCGGCCGGCGCACCGCGCTGATTCAATGGCAGGAGCCAGGAGCCAGGTGCTTTTCCTGGTCTCCCATGGGGTGCAGGGCCCAAGCACTTGGGCCATCCTCCACTGCACTCCCTGGCCACAGCAGAGAGCTGGCTGGAAGAGGGGCAACCGGGACAGAATCCAGCGCCCCAACCGGGACTAGAACCCGGTGTGCCGGCGCCGCTAGGCGGAGGATTAGCCTAGTGAGCCGCGGCGCCGGCCACTATGTATCACTTTTAAAAAGCACTTTATTTTGAAAAAAAAAATCATAAACTCACAGGAAGTTGGAAAGATTGTACAGTTGGGTCCAGTGTGCCCTTTACCCAGTTTCCCCAGTTGTTTTGCCTTCTGTAGTAACTGTAGTACAGCATCAAAATCAGAAAATGGACATGAATTATATGAAACTTTAAGTGGTGTATTTTATCCCCAGCAATGTTGGTATGTGAAGTGTATGGCAGCCTAAGTAATAGCCCCATGCATACATATTGCATAGATAGAACTTTCCTCTACTTACCAATTGATTGGCTTTAACCTGTTAAGTACTTGCAGGGGTAGGAAAGACCAGGGTGTTTTTTAAATAGCTGATTCATTTAGAATATATTGGAAAATGGTTGGCTTTCCAGCTGAGACCTTAACAGCAGATGTTTTATGTGCATTTCCTGAGTGTCGCTTCTTCGTACCCTCCTGTGTTCTAGCGCAGCCCTGCCCCACTGCACTCGCTTTAGGTTCAGCTCATTGTCAGCCCATGTGTCAGCCTTCTGATGCTTTCCAGAGAGAATGATAGGTGGGAGACATACAGCAACGACTGGAAACCACAGTTACTTCTCACTAGAAGTCTGTGATAATGCAGCAAGCGAGTGGCCTACACACAGTTTCACGATGGACTCCACTCCTCTTTCAGCTCTTCTCCCGGCAGCCTCGCTTAGGGAATACAGAGTCATTTTAATGTCATTCAGAGGCAGGGTTTCTCTAGAATTCTGTTAAAATTGTTTGCATTAAAAAAAAAAATCTACCCCTCCCCACACATCTAAAGCATTCTGGCTTCCAGTGCACGTGACTCGGGGAAAATCCGTGCTACCCTGGCTGCTATTTGGTACAAAGGATTGGTAGGTGCCTGCACTCTAATTTAAAAATCAATAATCTGCATGGGCTTATGTTCCAACTCTGCTTTGTACCAAGTTGTGTGCTAGGACTGCTTTCGTTTGAAAGAAGTTGACTAGATTTCAGTCGGATGAAGTGGACTGGAATTACCTCTCTCAAGGGGACTGCAATTATCTCTCTCCCCTGTCTGTGCTTAAAACAAAAACAAAAACCCCAAAAACTCTGAACAAAGTGAAGTCCTTAACATACACCTGGTCCTGGGTCACATCACAGTGTTTCCATTGGTGACTGATCATATATACAAGAGTGGTCCCCTCGCGTTGTAATGGGGCTGGACAGTTCCTGTCATCCAGTGACCCCACATTGCTCCTCTGTGTGTGGTGATGCTGGTGTCAGCAAACCTGCTTCGCTGCTGGTTGTATGAACGTGTAGCAGGTGCAGTAAGTTCAGTACATAATACTCAATGATGGTAGTCAACGATTACGTGGCGGGTTTGTGATTGTAGACATTTTATTGAGCGTGTATGCCTTTTATGTACATACAGAGTAGCTTGGAATAGCACTCTATGCTGTGTTACACGTGCAGCAGCCTCGTGCTTCTTGTGTTTTCCTGAGGGGCCGCATGGAGCGGCTGCCTTCCCCCGGGGAGGTGTGTGGAACGGCGCTCATGTTTGCAAGATGCAGGTCCTCAGAGGTGGCCCTGTCGCTCAGCCAAGTGGGACTGACTAGATAGGCAGCCCTGCGGAGCTCTGATGTTCTCCATCCAAGCCCAATAGCAATGCTCTTTAGCAGAGTTTATGCAGTCCATCTCTCTATGTAAGTCTGCTTTCTAAGAGTGGACTCTCTTCTCTGGAAATGGCAATGCCTTCTCAACTTGTCCAAGCCAGAACACTTCAAATAAACCCTGCTCTCTGGTTGCCAATCAGACCAGGCACAGGTGCAAAACCAGCACAGCTGAACTCATTATTAGGCTCTCACTGTGTACTATTCTTGATGTGAATGAGTCATCTTGATTGACACTTGCCAATGGAGAGCTGGGATTTATGCTCCTGGACCTAGAGTTTCCATTCCCTCACACAGAAGGACTTTCCCTGCATTGGACTTAATGGCTCATTAAAAACAGAAGCCTAGAAGCTGCGCCTCTACGGAAAGTGACAGCGCTCCGTAAATCACCCACCCTTTAACTTCTTAATGAAGGGGGAAATCGCCCGGGGCTTTCCGATGACTTTCGGGGTTTCCTCGAAGCCCTGGCATCAGCACAAGGGGCACGCGGGCTCCCTCGCCCCAGGCGGGGGCCTCCCACTTGTCAGCCAGGCGCTGTGGCACCCTCTGCTGCCCTGCTCTGTAGCTAACAGCTGTGGCTTTCAGCACAGGAACCCCTGCCTGCCAGGACTGCGCTCCAGCTGCTCTGTGCCATCAGCCAATGTCTCCCTCCATGAAATCCTGACTCCTGCACCCTTTCCCCTTACCTTCCACCCGCCCCGCCATTTCCCTGTGGGGACATTGTGCACCAGAATAATGTATTCACTATTTTCCCTACCAGTATACGGTGTGGAGGGATAATGGGAAAGCTCTGGCTGTTCATTGGTTCTCATTTGCAAGTGTACAACGTGGGTCCGAAGTTACTGGAAGCAGCTAGGCACAGAATGAGTGAAGGGAATTTCATATATAGTTGTCAGTCTATTACACGGAAATAGAGGGGACAAAGTAGGCTATTGGGTTATTTGGCTGATTTTCTCTCTCCAAGTGGCAGGGAATCTAGACTTTGGAAGAATTTGCATTGCTCTTTTGTTCCCCCAACCCCCTTTCATGGCCTTGATAATTCTTAGTATCTTGAGTTAGTTACCCTCATCCCACAGAGTCAGACGGCTATTCCTATGCCAAAGGGGCAACCTGTTCTTTTGTCCTCACACGGCTTGGTGTTGGTCCAGCCACATGCTTGTGTGTGTTTCTGCTTCTGGCCGGTGTGAAATGTTTGGGAGATGACCAGCAGGGGTTGAGAATGCAGCTTGTACTTGAAGAACAGGGCAAAGCCAAACTTTTAGGCTTGCAATTTATTCACAGTCGTTGAGCACTGAGACTACCAACCTCATAGGACTTAACGCATCTTGAAGGGATGTTAAGAGGCATCATTCAATGCATTGATCATCAACTTTCTGGGACATTTCTAATGAAAGGGAGTTCCAAATTTAGGGAGGTGGCTCATCCATTTGGGTGGTGGTGGTGGGCTAAATATAAGAGTTACATTCTCAAGGTGAAGAATCCTATCCCAACTTCTCTGACCCAGAGTTGATAAAATTCACCATGATTTGGAGATAGGAGATGTTTGGGGGTGATTTACCTGAATTGGGCCCTGGTTGAGCTCCCATTGACCTAGCAGCCTCTGTCTACCGCAGCAAAGAGATGTGCGACCAGCAGAATGCCTTCACCATGTGTCCCCTGTGTGACAAGTCCTGTGACTACTGGAACCTCAGCTCAGCCTGTGGGACTGCACGGGCCAGCCACCTGTTTGACAACCCTGCCACTGTCTTCTTCTCCATCTTCATGGCCCTGTGGGGTAAGTGATCATCGTGATGCTTGCTTTTATGGCGGTCCCTTTACCTTCACGTGGGTTCAGTGACCAGGCTCATATCCTTAGTCTACTCACTTTAGAATTTTGTCTTCATATCCTAGGAGGTATTTTAAGGACAGTACCTTTCTAGTTACTGGTTTGTATGAAATAGAAATATTAATATCTTTCCTGGACTTACCTGTTTTCTCGTAGGTACAGCAGTGTTGCCTACATACTAGTCTAATGCATGCTTTATTCAGCATTTGAACAGTGCATGCTTTGAAAGCACCTAGCACATCCACAAGGCACCTGCAGGCACATTTGCTTAATCATGGAAAACTGCAGGTACTGTGCAGTGTGATACTCAGAGTGGTGGAGTGACTGCTGGGATTACACAATTAGTGAGGATATAGATGTGCTGAAATCTGGTCTCGTTACTCAAGGTTCATTGTCATTTTCAGGATGCTGTGAATGTAGGATAATAGACGTTGTATTCCATGCGAGAGTGGGGTTTTCAATATTCCCACCAAAGAGATCTGTGAAGGAAATAACAAGTAGTTCCTTTATTTTACTCCTCCTCTCTTGCCTCAGGAGTGTCAGGGCAATGGGCTTGCTCTGAGCCATGGCTTTCTGACCACACACACACACACTGTTCTCACAAATGAACAACCTAGAACAGCGACCCCATAGTAAATGAACATTTCTGAAAAGATACACCCATGCATATTAACAAAGAGGGCAAGTCAACATTTTTCAGCCCATTCGAATGGCCACCTGCTTTTTACTGACCACTGGAGGTGGACCATGCAGCAAGTGAGTTACCTTGGCATGATTAGCTTTCCCATCGGATAACTGACAAGCAGGACCACGATCCTGCTGCAGAACCTGTGCTATTTGTCACTGCCTCCATGGGGCCTGGAGGAAGCACCAGGATGGGGCATGAGTCACACACCCCTGAGGCTGTGAGGAAGGAGAGGAGAGGGAGTATTCTCAGTAGTCGTGGGACACAGCCTTCCCCCTTTCCACGTGAGGACCTTTATTTGGGTGACAGAGAACTTGACTGCAAGATTCTCGTACTGCCAGGGCACCAAGGACAGTTTCTGTTGGCTGCTCTACTCTCTCTTTCCAGGAGTACATGGGCAGGGATCAGCTGGTCTAAAGTTGGATTGGGAAGTAGGAGAAAATGGAACTTGCGAGCATACAGCCTAGGAACTTGTGAAAGGAGCAGTAGAAGACTCTGACGTTGGAGCTTGCTGCCTGGGAAGTCATGGGCACCTTTGTGTCTCCTCCTCAAACAGGGTCATCTCGCAATGACCCCAGGATTGACTTGAGCTGATTTGGAAGCCATAACATGTGTTCCCTTTTGTGTGTGTGTATAAATACACACACACACACACACACACACACACACTATAAAGAACTTAATTCCGATGCATTTCACTTGTAGATATTGCTACCATTGAGGGACTGAAGCTTAGGTACTGTAGATCTATGATTCCCTCAAGAACTTTCCCAGGACAAAATCTCATTCTAGGGAAACTTACATTTCACTTACACTTTCTGGTTTCAAGTCCTAACAACTGCCTCTTGTCTTTCCTCAATAACTGTAAAGAGCAGATGCTCTCCACCCCTTGAGAGATCCTCCATAATTTACTACCCCTGGCCCCGGAAAAGCACAAAGGGGTAGGATTGTGTCAGACCTTCCTGAGAGAGGGCAGGGCTGGTTTTGTTTTTTTAACAGCCTCGCTGTGTTTTTATGTCATTGTGTATTTGGTTACAGCAGCCCAGAGCCCCTAGGCATGACTGCCTACAAATTACAATTAAAAATAATAGTAATGCTTCTCATTACTCTGATTATTGTGATTAGTGGTGCTGTGCTGGGCCTGCCAAGAACAGGCTGGGAAGAAGTTTGTGCAGAGAGGGACTCCGGCTCTTGGTGGCAGTAGACACGAAGGTCATGGACGACCTGAGTCTGTTGGGGTCTTCTGGATCCCCTCACATTGAGACCCTGATAGAAAAGGAAATAAAGACATAGAGTTTCTGAACTCTTTACCGAGGAGGGACTAGGGACAGCAGCTCAGTCTCTCATGCTCCCTGTCTGCTGCACATGCCACAGGAGGTGGATGGGAGCCTAGCTCTGTGTCGCCAAAGTCAGTGCTCTTGACCAACAGGTTATGTCACCTTGAGGACATTGCTTAATCTCTGGGCATCGTTGTCCTCCTCTGTACACTGGGTAAAATAGAACCCACCCTGGAGTGTTCTTGTAATGGACGAATGAAGTGTGCACACCCTGTATAGTGCCTGGTGGTGTAGTGTAGGCACCAGGACCTGTGACCTGCTCTGATGCGTGTTGTCTGTGATGTCCGCTCTGACTCTCAGGACTCCTCGACTGTCACTCCTTTGCTCCCCACTTCGGTTCCCACCATCTGACTTCCTTACTTCACGGAGATCCTGATTGGTCAGTGCTCTGAGCCCTCTGATGCATACCTCCCTTCTCAGACACAGTGAAGAGCAATAGGAAGAAGAGGGACTTCCCCTATTCTCAGAGCATCCTCAGACCAATGCTAGTGTCAGGAGGTCAGGATGCACTGAATTTTAAAAAGCCTCAAATTCATGGGCCAAAGCCATCCATTTGGCGCAAGCACTTGCAAGTAAAGCCAACGTACCTGTGACTGTGTATCGTCTCAGTGTGTGATGCTTGTTATGCTCTGTTCTGTGCTGTGCCCAAGGTAAGTATAGGCAGCTGAGAGCTCAGGAACCCTCTGCGGTTCTGTTATTATCACAGAGACCTGACATGGTAGTCAGCAGCCAAGCGTGGCATGCAGTGAAGCACGCCTGGCCCTCTGCAAGGGTGGTGTAGAGTTGCAGGGGTGACCTCTGGGAGTGTCCCTTCCTTTCCCTTTCCAGGGCACCGTGTTTATAAGGGCAGCAGCAGTGTGGAGGAGGAGGAGAGGACAACATGAGACCTGACTTCATGGAAGATGAGGACTGATCTGGTCAGGATATGATGTGGGAGGAAATGGGGGTAGGGTAGGAAATGGGAGCAGTTTGCTCCATTGTGGATGGAGAGGACAGTGAGGAGACAGCCTCAACAGCAATGCAGGTGCCATGTGCACTGACAATCGGTGGAAATGGTATTGATGGCTGGATTGGACCAGGCATCCACAAAATCCCAGTGTCCAGAGATAGGAACTTGGTCCACAGGGATCTAGTGAAATTGTAGGTAGGGGAGTGGTAGCATCATTACTCTGCCTACCTCTGCTTCAATGCCTCAATCCTTTTGTTCTTCAACAGTCAGCCCAGATGCCTCTTCTGGAAGTGAGCTCTCCTGTTCTGCATCCTCCCATTATCTGTTCATTCTTAAATTGCTTTATGCTTTGCATTGTAGTTTTTACACTCTTTCCTTGTAGACCGTAGACAACTTGAGAGCAACATCCACATCATATTCACAGAATCCTCCCTACAATATCTAGCACAGTGTTTTGTATATTGCCAAGTAGCTAGCATTTTTTCAGGATTAGAAATTTGCCCTAGGGGCAGCAGATTAGATGCCACTTGGGATGCCCACATCCCATAACAGAGTGCTCAGGTTTGCATTCTGGCTCTGCTTCCAGCCAATGCATGCCTGGGAGGTAGCAGGTGGTGGCTCAAGCTCAGGCACTGGGTTCTCGCCACCCACATGGAAGACTTGGATTGAGTTCTGAGCTCCTGGCTTCAGCCTGGTGCAGTCTCACCTCTTGTAGGCATTTGGAGAATGATGGAAATTTCTCTTTCTCTGTTTCTCTACCTTTCAAATAAATAAAAAACTGAAAAAGAAATTCACTTGAGCTTGTTCAAAGAACAAGAGATTTATTATAAGAAAGCAAGAGGCAAGCTCATGGGTGTAGGAGATGAAATAAAGTCAGGCCCCTAGGACACTGGAGCTGGAGAAGCTCCCAGAAACCACAGCCTTCCCTGCTGTTTCCAGTGTGGCGTGGATCCTCCCATTGCTCCTTCTCTTTTGTTCCTTCATTCTGATTTTTCAACAGAGAGAATATGATTGGTCTGTGAGCAGACCCTGCATGAGGTGTTCAACAAGTCATGGCTATAGGATGCTGATGTAAGGGGTGCCAGGTTCTTCCTAGAACACACTGGGCTTTTCCTTCAAGGAGCTGTGGGTGGAGCAGACATACTCATAAGTAGGTATGGTAGGCATTGTACAAATACTTGCTAAATACATGGGAGAATGAATGGATGCTGTTTATAGAAATTACTCTCTCAGCTGCATGCAGGATGGGTTGAAAGGCTTAGTCTAGAGTCAGATAGATCTGTAAGAGCTGTTAGGTAATCTCTAAATGAGCTGATTAGGGCCTAGAAAATGTGGTGTGCTGGGGACAGAAAGAAAGATATGGGAGACAGAAGATTGCTAATGAAGGTGCAAGAGGAAGGAATGTGTGCATAGGCAAGAGAAAGCTAATCAAAAATGTCAACAGGGTGGGTATTGTGGTGCAGAGGGTAAGCTGCAGCTTAAAACACCCATATCCTATATTGGAGTGCGGTTTGAGCACTGCCTACTCTGTTTTGATCCAGCTTCTGGCTAATGCATCCTGGGAGGCAACAGATGATGGTTCAAGGACTTGGGCCTCTGATAACTACATGGCAGGCCTGGGTGGAGTTTTAGGTTCCTGGCTTTGATCTTGCCCAGCTCTGGCTGTTTCAGGCATTTAGGGGATTGAACTAGCAGATGTAAATTCATTCATTCTCTCTCTCTCTCTCTCTCTCTCTCTCTCTCTTTCCCTCTTTCCCTCTTTCCCTCTCTTTCTCTCCCTCTGCCTTTCAAATAGAAGAAAATTAATTAAATTTTTTAATCCTTATTTTATTTATTTGAAAATCAGAGGTACAGAGGGAGAGAGACACAGCCAGAGAGAGTCTTTCATCCACTTGTTCACTCCCCAAACCACCACAATAGCTGGGGCTTGGGATGGGCCATGCCGAAGCCAGGAGCCAGAAGTTTCCTCCAGGTCTCCATGTGCCGTTTCCTCCAGGTCTCTATGTGGGTGCAGGTGCTCAAGCACTTGGCCCATCCTCCACTGCTTTCCCAGGCTATAGCAGAGCTGGATTGGAAGTGTGGAGCAACTGGGACTGGAACCAGTACCCATATGGATGCTGGCACCATAGGGAGTGCTTTACCCACTATGCCACAGCACCAGACCCAGAATTTTAATTTTCTTCATCTATTTCTTTCATCTTTCAAGATCAGTGTTCACCTTCTTCTCATTACCTAGAAGTGGGGAAAGGTTGTGTGTGTGTGTGTGTGTGTGTGCATTCCCCTTTAGTGTATCTACTGGCTCTTAAGGATGTGGGGTATTTTGAGCAATTCCAGGTAGGGGTGGTAGGAAGGGGCTAAATGTTTTAATGAGAGCTCCTAAATTTGAAATCTATAAAGTATCCCCCATCTCTAATAGTGAACCCAAATGGTATCCAGACCTACTCTTCAAAAGTCGTTGAATTTGTGTTCTTTCTTTTTAAGCTACCATGTTTCTGGAAAACTGGAAGAGACTCCAGATGCGACTGGGCTACTTCTGGGACCTGACTGGAATAGAAGAGGAAGAAGTGAGTTCCTTGACGCACTTTTCTGGGACCTTGTTTGCTGGGACACTTAGACTGTCTTGAGTGAGCCAGCGATGCTTCCCATCATGTCAGGCTGGGGCTCCCACTGTCTGCTTTTGTAGACAGGGTCCATGGACTCATCCATAGTTGGTATACAGTGTGGCCAGGAGTTCAAATGTCTCCTCTTCCCTTGAGCAGAAAGACACTGTGTTGGGTATCCAGATGTCCTAGTGTCCTACTCTGGGGAAAAGATGGCAGGAGCAAGGTGTAGGTAACCTTGAGAGCAAGAAGGTGTATAATAGGAATCACTCTCATGTGGCCTGGGGTAGGTCAGAATGCTTCTGTGAGTCTGCCAAGGGGCAAGAGAGCAGGTATGAATGTCAGAGACACTGGTTTCTTTTGATGCCCATGAAAGGCAAAAGAACCACTAAATCACATACCAGCACCCTGTGTGTGAAACTGGAGGACAAGTCAAGGGCAAAAAGTAGGTTCTTCTGGGTCTAGTTTGCTGAGCAAATGATACTTAAATGATGCGAACAAATCACTCTTCCCTCAAGACTTGTTTGAAAGCCGGCAGCCCCATCCTGCTGCTGGTGAGTGGATGATGGGCACTGTGTCTGTCACGGTTGCTCATGGTTGCCTAGTCACTGCAACTCGGCCTTCTCCAGACAGTCTGCCCTAGATCCCCTCTCTTCCATTTCCAAGTTCAACTGGCCCCCTCCATACCAACCATTACAACTTTCAAGGGCTGCTGATATCACACGCTACCATGGACTCAATCAACAACCATATGAATGTTGGATAGGAACTGCCAGTATTGTAGATATTATGGATGAGGTGCTGGGGTTGTGTCCATAAAGACCAAGAAGCACTTTCAGTTGCTTGAGTACTCGCCTGCATACTGGCCACAGGGTCGGGCTGGCTGCATGCAGAGCGGGCCTTCTCCTGTAGCTGAATGAGCTTTGCCTTGGACTTGGGACCTCAGGCTTTGTGATCTTGATATTGCAGAAGCAATCAAGTGAAATTCCCAACTGAGTCTTGCTCTCCAGCCTGTGTGTCTCCGTGACTGTGGTGTGTCGTCATCTCTTCCTTAATGCTCTCATTAGCCAACTTGTCTTTGAGGAGAAGAGCTGAGAAGTGGCAGGAGCCACAGAGCAGCTGCATGGAATGGAACGTACCAATCCAAGTTGTTCTGCCTACATGTGCTAGAGGGAGAGGTATAATAATGTGGCTTCCCCCTGCTATCATGGGTTTTCACTCCATTGCAACCATTGCATTACCATGTACTGCGTAATGTATCCACTCTCCTCCAATCCTTTGTGTTACCCATATCCCTTGAGACTAAAACCACCATGGATTCTGTGGCAAATGAGAGAACATTACATGAATTCTGCTGTCAAGCAGGATTCAAATTAGTTAGGAAGATAAGCATTGGAGAATAACTGAGCAGTTGCATTTCTTGGAGGAAAATACCTCAACTGGTGTAGAAAGGGCAGTAAAAGTTTGATTGTGAGTGAGTTAGGTGGGGCATCTTTTTACTGTTGGACCCATCTGATCCTGCAAAGAATATGTTGATGTATGAGTGTACTTCAAAAAGTTCATGTAAATTGAATTAAAGGAAAAGTTTATTTTGGTCTCCCAATTTTGGAAATCCATTCATACAAGGGATCTTCAAAAAGTTCATGAAAAATGCATGGATTTCCAATTTGTTTTGTCCCCAAATAAACTTATCTTTTGATTTTTTTCTATGAGCTGTGTGTGTGTGTGTGTGTGTGTGTGTTATGAGAGAGAGAGAGAGAGAGAGAGAGAAATTGCGAGCTGTGATAGAAGACTGTAATTGAGCATGGGGAGTAGTCAGGAAGCAGTTTCTATTCTCCTAATGCCAAGGCTAGGGCTAGGGTATCTCTAAAGAAGAGAAGAAATGTCCTGGCACCCAAGCCTGCATGAGACAAGCTCAGTGAGTCTGCTAGGAAGAGTTGGGGAAGCCAGCACATCTCTCTGTCAGAGGACTTGTAAACACAGCGCCACACAGAAAAGCATCAGGCATGACTCAGTGCCCTGGAGATCTCTGCAAGGAATGGGATTATAATCCATTTTTCCTTTCTGTAGCCTGATTTCCTGTTTTTCTGTTTAACCCATTGAGCCATGGTAACTTCGTGGGAGGTACATGCTTTGCGGAACTCACGTGCAGGCTGAGAGGGGCCTGGCCAAGTTTCAGTTTATCCACGGATAAGGAGTTGTTCCTGATGGAATCTCTGTGTGAAGCTCCGGCAAGGCTGGTTGGCGCCATAGCACGGTTGGTACACCCCACAGGTGTGCAGCCCGGGGCCAGGTATAGGTGAGAGGAAGAGAGGCCAGCCTTGTCTTTTCCTTTAATGTATTTCCATTCTGAACTAGGATATTAAGCACCTTAAAAAATTCTGTTCAATTTTGAGCACAAGCATTAAGCACCTACTGTGCACCAAAATTTGATATGGAATATAGAACTACCTCTATATTCTCTGATCTCCACAGCTAATACATTCAGCAGGGTACTGTCTGGTCTATAAATATTTAACATAGAATCAAGGGGACATGCGAGGATTCTTTCTCACTAATGTAGGAAGAAGGAGTGCTTTTACTAAACCAAGACTGAAGATTGGCTGAATTTTATTTTTTTAAAGATTTATTTTATTTATTTGAAAGACAGAGTTGCAGAGAGGTAGAGACAGAGAGAGATGTCTTCCATCTGCAATGGCTGGAGCTGTGCTGATCTGAAGCCAGGAGCCAGGAGCTTCTCTGGGTCTCCCATGAAGGTGCAGGGGCCCAAGCACTTGGGCCATCTTCTGCTGCTTTCCCAGGTCATAGCAGAGAGCTGGTTGGGAAGAAGAGCAGCCAAGACTAGAACCAGTGTCCATATGGAATGCTGGCGCTTCAGGCCAGGGCTTTAACCCACTGCGCTACAACGCCGTCCCCTGTTTGGCTGAATTTTAATGGTCAGCAAGAGGAAGAAGGGATACCCACAAGGAGTGTGGTGAGCAGGAGTCTTGGTGTGGCAAGTGTAGAACAGAACCAACAGAATGCCTCTGAGCATATGGTTGGCTTCAGGAAACAGGGCTAGGGGTGCAGCTGGGGACAAGGGAACAAAGACCAGTGGCCAGGTCAGGGAGGACACTTACTGCTTGTCTGAGTTTCCTGTGGTTCATGGGAAGGAAGGCACAGAGGGCAAGAGAGGCCAGGCATGTGTGCCATGGACAAGAGCCCTAGGACTTATAGGAAGTCCTGTAGGCTGGAGCAAGTTTATGTTACACTCACATGAGGCACAAAAGGGAGGGAGATATTATTCAGGCATCATGGAGAGAGGTGCTGGGGTCTTAGAAGGCCATGGTTAAAGGTGTTTTCCATTTTAACCAGATATCCCTCAGAATCAGGGCTATAGGGTACCCCCAAAAGGTTTGTGGAAAAATGGAATTAAAGGGTGAGTTTATTTTGGTGCCAACAAAGTTGAAACCGTGTGTACGTGGGGTCTCTAAAGAGTTATTGGAAAACGTGTATTTTGAAAAAACTATGCGAGGATTTCAAGAAGTTTTGCACAAACTTCTTGCAGTCCCCTTGTACTCCCAGGGCTGGTCGTCTTCAGCCTCAAGCCCTCATTCTTCTCTGGAGTGTTCACTAGGAAACCGCTTCTCGGAGGAAGGAGGGTGCTCACTCACACATATACCACAGTTCCTTCCTGTACTATTCCTCCCATGCATACACTGTTCTCACCTGGAGGGGCCGCAACATGAGGACCACCCTGGGAGGGGTTGGGCAAGCAGAATGGCTCAAATGCAGCTCACAATCCAAAGAGAAGCGAGAGTTGGGGGGAAACCCAGCTGGCAACTGCTTTCTGACAAGGGCAGGGAAGGAAGAGAGCAAGCAAATGCCAGAGCCAACCCACTGGGCCAGTGCAGCCCTGACCCATGGGGTGTCCCTGTGGATAGCACCCAAGGTCTTGTTGTGGGGCACCTTTGATTACGGTGTGCCCTTGTTGCAAGTGGGCTTCCCAGGTCCCTGGGTCTTTAGCTGTAAAGTGGTGCCACCTTCCGCTCAGCCAACCTCCCCTGCCAGACTCCCTTCTCTCCCTCTGCTGAGGCATTCCTGGAGTTCTGGGCACAGAGCGTCCTGCTCATCCATCTCTCCACCAACACCTGTCACAGCAAGCTTCAGATATCCTCAACAACTTCCCATCACCGAGGAAGCAAGATCCCCTGCTTGCCTTTCTGACCTTGACTCATGCCATTCTCTTCCTTGCTCAGCCTTTCCAACCACATCACCCTTCATTCTGTTCCAAGTCACGCCACTCTGCTTCGGCCAGTCCCACTGGGTAGACTGCTTTTGTCCCCCACGCCACCCTGTCCCATCTCCACAATGGTCTGAACAGTCTTTTCTTGTCTTGGTGAAAAGGTTACTGCCTTCTGTGTTTCTTATCTTCATCTGCTAGTTTCTTATTTGTGTGTTAGTTTACTTCCTTTTACCTTCCTGCACTGGAAGGTAAGCTCTCTGAGAAGAGGGATCTTGGCCACAGTGCCAACACCAGAGCCCCTGTGCCTACAAAAGGTCCCAGGGCATAGTAGGTGTTTGATGACTCTTTGTTGAATGTACATCTGGATCCCACCTTTGGATCACCCAAGGATGGTCCTGCATTTGTCCTGGACGCTTCCTCTAGGCCTGCTCCTGGGGAGACCGACCCATAGAAATAGTTCCTAGAGTCTTGGTGGGAGGTGTTATGTATTTAAGATGATCTGGCCTCAGATCATTCAACCAGGGAGATTGGGTCTGGGGAATCAACCTGCCCTTGTCAAAGCCCTCTCTAGGTCCAGATTTTGCTGTGACCAGGATCTCAGTTGTCCGGCTGTTGAAGGAATCTATAACCTCATCCAATCTGCACATAGGAAGAGCTTTGTCCGACCTGCCTCTGCCAGAATGCAGGGTAACCTGACTGCTTTGAGTCCCAGACTCCTGAGTCCTGATGCCAGACTCGGTCAGAACGTATGAGACGTGTCTGAACTGGGACCCAGGGTGGGTGAGATGGGACACAGCCACAGCTGGAGCGACATGAGGAAGCCCTCTGTGTGACACCACGGCTCGCCTTGGGAAGCCCAAGAGGAGTAGGAAACACCCTGCCAATCAGCCAGGAGAGTCTTTCTCAGCCCGTCTGCAGGGTATGCAAAAGGAGAAGCCGCGGTGGCTCATCAAGTTCTAGAACCCATATTGTGGTATTCACCAAAGGACACCGCTTTGGTTTTTAGCTGAAATCTTCCATTGGAATGTCATAGAAGAAAAGCAACCAGATTCACGTGCTCTGGAGGAAAGCTTCAAGACTCTATTTCTCAAAGTATTCCTGCAGGATGTGGATTCTAGCAGGCAAAAACTGTCCTGTGGGAAAGGGAGGACTTTAGAAAATGAAGCAGGTGTCTTCACAGTAGTACTTTTCAGATTTTTTTAAAATTCTCCTTGTGACTCTCACAACAAAGGCGACACATTTTGTGCTATTTTCCCGTCTTTTAGACCTTGGAGTCCTTTTGTAGCTCCAACTTTCTTGGCATATACCCTGGGAAATGTACACTTCTCTATGCTGGAGAATAGATCAAAGGAAGAGAAGCAATCAAGTAACTTCACAAGCATTTAGAGGTGTCTGTGTGTTCTGCATGGTGGCAGTTACTGCGAGGAACATGAAATAATATAGAGCAGGTAGCCAATCCTCATGTGAGGACAAGAAGACTCTCACGTGCAAAGAAATAATAAAAGCTAGGAAATGATGAAAGAAATATATGTAATCAAGACTTAGAATGTTGGTATAAGCCATAAAAGTCTAGAAATTCAGAGAGGGAGGAGATCCTGCCCGGTAGCTATGTTGCAACTGTCAGAGGAGGCCTCCTGGAAGGGGCGGGGCTGACATAGCCTCAGAGATTGGGTGATGAGGACAGGACTTGACACTTCAATGGCATCACCTGCGGCTTTATTGGGTCTGCTTGTGAGTCGCCTACATGGTCTCTCCTCTCTGGCATGTCTTGTGAAAACCAGATACAGGGCAGAAACTAAGCCTGTTGGCTTCTGGAATCTCTGACATGAGGGCAGTGATAAGGACAGGTGTGTTCTCCGAGCAATGGAGCTCACTTGAAGCCAGTGGCGCCTGAACCCCTGCCTAGGCGTTGTGGGTAAACAATGCAGGAACACCAAGTCCTCGCACCTGTAGGTATTTGTCCGGGAGCTGGAAGCTGCAGGGAAGACCTGCCAATGAGCCAGGTGTACACTGTTAAATTCCCTTTGAAGTGAGTCATGCATCCTCCTGCCCCAGCATCTGCGTTAATTTGATTTGACCATGGTCCTCTTGATGAGTTAGGTGCTCGTTCCCATGCCTGGTGACTCACAATTCAGGTTTGTACGGCTGAATGGCCCAGGGAGGTCTCTTGAGCATCAGTGTACTTGCCAATGAGTTACTCACCTAGGCCATACAGGAAACAGGTCTGAGCAAGTGAGTTTTAAGATTCCCCATGGCCACCTTCGACTTTGATGTTTATTGGTCGCCATTGTAACTTACAGAATAATGGAGCAAGGAAGCAGTTTTGCTGTTGCCCTCACTCCCAGCTGGGGGACACATCTGTTTTTCCAGCTGGGATTTGGCTGATTATAAGCTAAAGTGTGAGGTAGAAGGCTAGGTGGGGGGTTGACCAGATGTCTCCTTCTGCCTTTGGTCAAACTGCTCTGCAAAGCACATGACTTCTTCCTATCAGCTGCCTTGTTAACTTTTCCTCTCTCCTTTCTCAACACCGGTGCCACCCCCAGGAACGTGCTCAGGTTTGGTTTCTGTGTCGTCACAAGTGTTGTGCGTTCCCTTTCTTCTCCCTCACATTGCGTTCTTGGTCTAGACTCCCCGTAACTGTGAGTGGTGTGGCAGTTCCTGTCTGATGGCGTCCAGTCCTAAACCCCTGCCTCTCATGTACTTGTGGTGTCTGGTCAGAACCCACAGGCCAAGGGCACGCTTCCTCCTCTCCACTAACTGCTCTCTGGCTCTTTGGTTTAGGAACATTCCCGGCCGGAGTATGAGAGCAAAGTTCGAGAGAAAATGCTGAAGGAGAGTGACAAGTCGGTGGTCCAGAAATTAGATGCAAATACCGCTGGGAGTGAAGATGAGGTAAGACTCGGCACCTGTTGCACGTGGTCCACTTTATTTATTGTTAAGACATGTGGTCCTTGTATTTGGAATGCCTTCGTGAAAGGAAACCGGGCTGTTGAGGAGGGGTAGTGTGGGATAGGATGAGGTGAGAGCCTGACACCGCTCATTGTCTGGAAGTCGGAGCTCACAGGTCACAGTCTCACTCGTCTGGGTGAAAAGGATTTTCAGGCCTGGTTCCTCTGGTGGCCACCACTTCGATTGGGAATAATGGAAAGAACCATCACTGGATCAGTTACCACCACAGCAGCTAACCCTGAATCCATGAGGTCGGTCCTATTTGTCAATGAAAACTCATGAAAAAAAAAGTCACGTCTACAGATGAAGGCATTTGCCAGGGGTCTTACAGCAGTAAATGGGGGGTGGATCTGGGCTTCCAACCCAGGTCTGTCTATTACGGAGTCTTGCACCTGACCACTATACCATCCTGCCTTCCAAATGCACTGGCAAAATCAAATGGAAGACATGGCTTACAGGGCCAGCAGAGGCAAACTCATGCCTGTATTTGCTTGACTTGTTCACCCGGTAGTCCTTACATTTCATCTTATCTGAGCGGGCCTCCGAAGGCGGCACTGTGGTGCTGAACCTGTCCTTTGAGTCAAATTTTTAGAGTTTTAAGGTGGAATTCACTCATTAAACAGCTTCAGAATCTGTGCTGTGATATGTAAATATTCGTAGTGCTTGTGTGTGTGTATGTGTGTGTGTGTATGTACGCAGAGGGGCTGGAGTGGGGGATCCTCTTGGCAGTACCTGTCTCTGAGTGCCTGAGTGCCATCCTTTGAAATCAGAAGATGTGTGTGTGTGTGTGTGTGTGTGTGTGTGTGTGTGTTTATATCTTTCCAAATCTGATACTTGAAAAAATTCAACAAGATTGAAAATCTGTTGTTTTTACATGTGTCTTTTCTCCATCTTGGACTTGAATTCAACTTTCATTTCATTTTATGTTCTTTAAGTTGGAACCATTCACGTTAACATGCAAATGTATGCAAGCACCAAAACAGAAGAATCCGATGATTTGGAGCCCGGAATACTGGCATTTAAAAAAATATGAGACTTAAACAGAAGACAGAGAGAAGTCCTCTGAGTTGTTATTTTTTTTTCCTAGATGAATAACAAGTTCAAGACTACCAGCTATTTAGGGAAATAATGAATTTGTTCTTAGGAAAGAAGAGCTATTGCTGACCCCTCATTGGAGAGCAAACATTCTGTGTTCTGTCAGCTTCAGCAACTCCGTGTTTCTTTCTCCACCCCCTGCCCCGAGCAATATACAGTGGATAATTTTATGAAAATCACATGTAACTTTTATTGACCACTGACTCATCTAATTTTAATCCCGTAGACGGGAATGCCAAGGAGCTGGAGTTGTGTACACTGAGGCTGTGGTTCTAATATAAACATTGCTGGGATATGTATGCAGGATAGGTCCAATAACTTTCAGGAACCATGAATAATTAAGAAACATCTGAATGCATTATGAATGATACATATGTTTATGGTTTAGCATTCAACCTCTATTTTCATTACTCTGTGGAGAATGCAAAGCTCAAAGCATCTAATGCCTTCGGGCACTGGGGGGGAAATGACCTTCCCAGATGAGTAGTGGAAAGTAAAATGGCCTAGAATTGGATCGTCAGGATCCCTCTCAGGGTCCCTGTGTTCCATTAATACTGGAAATGCTCCTGTTCTTGCTACAGATCTGGCCATAGGTGGGAAGGAAGCATGAGCACATGTTGCTGTCTGATGGGAGGGATGCTGCTGTTGGCAGCAGGGAGGATTTGGCTAATGCCCACACCCTGCTCTGGCTCTGGGGGCACCTCTGTGTGTGGGATAGCTAGGAAGGGCACCTTTTCCTGGGGGATGGACAGGGACTAAGAATCAAGTGTAGCAGTGGCCCTTCCTGGGCTCCTGTCACCCAGAGGATCCCTTGGTTCTGCCTTCCCTGTAGCCCTGAGGCTGCGTGTCACCTCCTCCCCTGCTTTCCTTCCTGTTGCAAGATAAAGTGCTCAGGAGCTTGCCTAAACCACATAGCTAGTTAGGCAGCTGGTACGCAAACAAAGTTGTACCTTAATACACAAGGCTCATTGCTTTTTGCACTTTAAGGCTATCAGGTACAGTCATTTTTTTTAAAACATTTTCATTGAGACTTCTTTCTCATACCTTAAAAGTCACCCACTTAAAGTATACAATTCAGTGTGGTTTAGTGTATTCACACATCTGTGCAATTATGCCCACCATGTACGTTTAAAACATGTTTTAGGGTTTATTTTAAAACATTTTTATTACTCCAAAAAGGAAATCCTATACCCATCAGTTGCCAAGCTCTGTGCAACAATTGATCCAATTTCCATCTCTACAGATTTTCCTATTCTGGATTTTCATGTACATAGAATTGTGTACCATGCATACTTGAACTTCTTGCTTAGCAAAAAATTTTCAAGCTCACCCATGTTGTAGCATGTCTCAAAACTTCATTCTTTCTTGTTGCCAAATAATATTTAAGTTCTAGATTTGCCTCAAGATTTAGCCATTTATCAGTTGGTGGACATTGGGGTGGTCTCCACTTTTTGACTATTATGCATAAGGCTATGATGAACATTTTTGTAGAAGTTTTTGTTTGCATTTTTTTCATTTCTTTGGGGTGTATATCTTGGAGGGGAATTGCTGGATCTTGTGGAAACTTTATATTCAACATTTTGAAGAACTGCAACACTATTTTCCAAAGTGATACACTGTTTTACACCCCAACCAACAAGATATGAGGGTTCCAGTAGTTCCCTACCCTTGCCAACCCTTAAAATTTGTGTCTTTAATTTTACACATTCTAGTGGTGTGAAGCAGCATTTTATGATGTGTTTAATTTGCATTTTTTGCTGAGTGTCATTTCATGTGCTTATTGGCCATTTGTGTCATCTTTAGAAAAATGTCTGTTTTGGCTGGCACCGCAGCTCACTAGGCTAATCCTCCACCTGTGGTGCTGGCACCCCGAGTTCTAGTCCTGGTTGGGGCTCCGGATTCTGTCCCGGTTGCTCCTCTTCCAGTCTAGCTCTCTGCTTTGTGGCCCAGGAAGGCAGTGGAGGATGGCTCAAGTGCTTGGGCTCTGCACCCGCACGGGAGACCAGGAGGAAGCACCTGCTCCTGGCTTCAGATCGGCGCAGCGTGCCTGCCGTAGTGGCCATTTGGGGGGTGAACCATCAGAAGGAAGACTTTTCTCTCTGTCTCTCTCTCTCTCTCACTGTCTAACTCTGCCTGTCAAAAAAAAATGTCTGTTTAAATCCTTAACCCTTTAAAATTATGTTAGTTAGCTTTTTATTTTCATATTGTAGGATCTTATTTATTTTTATTTATTTATATTCATTTATTTGAAAGGTAAAGAGACAGAGACAGACAGATCTTCCATCTGCTGCTTCACCCCGCCCCCAAAATGCCTGCAACAACTGGGCTAGCCTGAAACCAGAACTCAATCTGGGTCTCCCACGTGGTCAGGGATCAAGTACTGGAGCCATCACCTGCTGCCTGCTGGCGTTAGCAGGAAGATGGAATTGGACCCAGGACTCACAAGTGGGTACTCTGATGTGTCAAGCAGCATCCTACCTGCTTTGGCAAATGCCTGCACCTGTATGACTTTTTAAATATATTCTGGGGGCTGGTGCTGTGGTGCAGTGGGTTAAAGCCCTGGCCTACAGCACCGCATATGTGCACCAGTTCAAGTCCTAGCTGCTCCACTTCCAATCCAGCTCCCTGCTAATGCACCTGAGAAAGCAGCAGAAAATAGCCCAAGTCCTTGGGCCCCTGGACTCATGTGGGAGACCTGGAAGAAGCTGCTGGCTCCTGGCTTTGCATCAACCCAGCCCCGACTGTTGTGGGCATTTGGGGAGTGAAACAGTGGGTAGAAGACCTTTCTCTCTCTGTCTCTGCTTCTCTCTGTCAAATAAATAAAAATAAGTCTTTAAAATAAATATATTCTGGCACCAGTTCCTTATCAGGTAATATAATCCACAGATATTTTCTCTAGTTCTGCAAGCTGTCTCTTCACTGTGTTGAAAAGTGAAAGCACTAAAGTGTTCCATTTTGAAGTAGTTTAATTGGGTTGTTTTTCCTGTTGTCACTTGTGCTTTAGGATCACATCTAAGAAATTATTGCTGATAGACTCCTAGTTTTACTTCCTACAGTTATGTTTTATGATCCATTTCAGTGAGGTTCTGTGCATGATGTAAGGAAGGAGCCCAAGTTCAGCACCATTTGTTGAAAAGACTATTTTTCTTCATTGAATAATCTTGACATCCTCATCAAAAATAAACTGACCACAAATGTCAGAGTTTATTTTGGGACACTCAGTTCTAGTCCATTGATCCATATATCTTTCCTTTTGCCAATACCACATTCTCTCAATTATTGTGCTTCTGTGGTAAGTTTTGAGATTGGGAAGTGTGAGTTCTATGAATTTATACTTTTTTTTCCAAAACTGTTAACAATTCTGGATGCCTTGTAATTTCCACTTGGATTTCATCACTAGCTTGTCAATTTCTGCAAAACAAAACAACAAAAAAGCAAGCCAAAGTTCTTATAAGGGTTGATTTGAGCCTGTAGATTAATTTTGGAAGTAGCCCTGGCTTAATGATAGCATGGCACAGTTGGTTCTTTGTATCCATGGATTCCACATACATGGATTCAACCAGCCATGGATTGAGAACATTCAGGAAAAAAACAAATTGCATCTGTCACGAACAAGTATGGACTTTTTTCCTTGTAATTATTTGTAAGCAGCACAGTATAACAACTATGTAGAATTTGCATTTTATTTAAGTAATCGAAAGATGATTTAAGTATAAGGGCATATACATAGGTTATATGCAAATATTAGTCCATTTTACATATAGGACTTGAACATCCAGAGATTCTGTTATCTGTGGAGGTCTTGGAACCAAGGCCCTGTGGAGAAAAGACACAGTTGTATATATTTC